ATTGTTTCTCTGCTGGAACGATCCTATTCCAAGACCACCGTGGGAGAGAGGCAGAGAGGTCCATTCCCATTTCACTAGATGGCTGCAAGAGTGGTGAGTACCTCCGTCCCAAAAGAAATCCCTAACATACTTCTCCATGGTCTTAATCACCGTTTTGGGAGCTTTCAACAAAGAAAGATAATAGAGGTAAGCTGCTAAGGATCGATTGGGCCAAAGTTAGGCGACCTCCTTTAGAAAGGGAGAGGTTTTTCCATTTAGATATCTTGCATCTAAACTTTTCCAACATTGGTTCCCAAAAGCCGATGGAGTTTGCATACCTCCTAGAGGGAAGCCCAGATAGTTGAACGGAAGGCTTTCAATTTTACACCTAATGATGTTTGCCGCTAAGAGGAGATCACCCTCCTCAATGTTTATCCCTATCAGAGAAGTTTTATCCGCATTCATAGACATACCTGCAGCATAGACAAAAAGGGATACTATCCCCCACCAATCCAGAAGATCTTCAACCCTCCCCTTGCTGAAAATAATGGTGTCATCCGCGTATTGGAGGTGTGTGAGGGGGACTTGTTTAGACCCGACCAGAAAACCCTTCAGTATTCTTCTCTCATGGCAAAAGTGCACAAGACGACTAAAAGCATCTCCAATCAAGGTGAAGAGGAAAGGAGACAAAGGACAGCCCTGTCTAAGTCCTCTCTGGGCAAAGATTTTGCCTCTGGGCCTCCCATTTATCAGAACAGAGAAGTTCACCGATCCAATACACCCTTCGATCCAACTGCACCATTTCGTACCGAAGCCTTTCCTCTTTAGAACAGCCAACAGAAAATTCCAGTCCACCATATCGTAAGCCTTCTMATAATCAAGCTTGAGGATGAAGCCACTTTTCTTGGAAGCTCGCCACTCACCAACCCCTTCGGAGGCAATCAAGATCGCATCTAGGATATTTCTGCCCTCAACAAACGCTGCTTGGGTGTTGCTAATAATAGAAGGGAGGTACTTTCTTAGTCTTTCGGCCAAGACCTTTGCTATAATTTTGTAAAGAGAAGTGACCAAACTAATGGGGCGAAAGTCCCTAACTTTGTTAGCTTTTCTCTTCTTTGGGATAAGACATAGATAAGTTTCATTTGTTCTCCGATTGATGATCCCATTTTGAAAAAAGTCTTGGAACACTCTAATTAAGTCGGCCTTCAAAATGTTCCGAAGACTTTTTAAAAAATTCATTTGTCATCCCATCAGGGCCCGGAGATTTGAGGGTGCCAAGTTTCCTGATAGCATCGTGCACTTCCTCTTCACTGAAGGGAGCCTCCAAGTCAAGACTGTCCTGATGACTAAGAGAATTCCATTCCATTCCATCAAAACAAAACCGGGGTCCAGCTTTATATCAGCTACGAAATTGTTTGGTTTTTTTTCTCCAAAAAGATATAGATGCTTCATTTATTTATTCATTTTTTAAATATCTGTAAATTTTTGAGCTATAACTTGACTGATCTCACGATATAATCGTTTGACCTTATTTGGTTGCCAAGAAAATTTGCAAGATTTTAAATATTAGGTTGGTGGCCACGTGGATTGAATTAATTGTCTTTAAAGCTTTTTTTCTTTTTACCTAGCCTCAATGACCAATAGGCAAATCAATTGTGGTTGGTACGGACACATTTTTTAAAGTATATATTTTTAAATATATTTCAAATTTCTTGGATTTCAATAATTTTCACATTAAAAATTTATTTAGTTTATGATATTTACATTTAAAAACCATGATGACATATGCGATGCTCCAAGATGTTGAAGAATTTAATTACATAGTTATTAGGTATACCAAAATGTTGGAGGGTTTTCTTTCTTCTACTCTTATTGCCAGTAATAACAAGTATTGATGGTAACAAGTTCATTGATCAGAGTATCTTATGTAATTTGAAATCTAGATGATGATTAATATATTATTGAAGGAAGCTAACAGAAGATAATAATAACCATATCTCATATCAGAGCTGTTGATATAAGTTGTCTATAAGGATGAAAAAAATTCAAGAAAATTGTATATGATGCAGGTTAGAATAATTCATGAAGGAATGAGATTTCCTTTGTGGTTGCATGGTCGGACGGCTGTTACATTCCTTGTGGTTTCTACCTCTCCTAAGCGCGCGGTGGGTAAGATGATGTCTAATGCTTTGGTCTCATTTTTATGGGATATCAAATTGAGTCCAGTTAAAGTTGTAGAATCATTCTAGTCATTTATGAGTAACCATATTGGTTTTTTTTTGTTAAAGCAGGGTCCAAGTAACCATATTGTTTTTCCTATTTAATGAATGGATATGATATTTATCTGCTTTGTAATATTGATTGACTGGTATAAAAGCGTACAAGATTCTTTATTATTATTATTATTTTTTTATGAAGACCTAATACGGAATATTCAAGACTGGAAATTGTTAAAACTCATTGCTATAGGTATAGCCAATAGTTTTGTAAGATCACGATGTTTGCATATGTCAGCAGAACACTCGAATTCTTCCAAAATAATCAAAAGAATAATTCATTCCTGGAGGTTGCAGATATACCGTTCTTTATTTTATTCTACTTATGAATCATCAATTATCATATTTCAACGCATTATTTGCTCCATTTGTGTATGCTCGTATGCATATATCTCTTTCCCTTCATTTACTACGTTCCTCTTGTCAGGTTGAGCCATTTATTTTCTTTTATTTTAAGTGGTCTTGTGAAAAGTAAATATTTCCTGTTTCAGTGAAACTTGTGCAAGGAACTAAGGTAGTAGTTGCTCCAAAGACACGTGAGAAAGTTCTGGATTCTAGAGAGGGTTCGCCCATACAATCTTCTTGTATGGTTCAGGCAAAAGCTGTGCTGCGAGTTCAAGACCTGGACAAGAGATTGATTTGCAATAGTACCTTTGCAGGCATTGAGCTTCGGGTAGTGCCAACTTCTGTTGCCTTTATTCATCCACAAACGGCTAAAAATTTCTCATTGAACTCTCTTGAGTTGGTTTCTATATTGCCTAGATCATCAGGGAAAGAGAGTGGGAACCATAATGAGATCAATGATTTGAGGAAGTTGAAAAGTTCAACTGCCGAAACGAATAGTGGAGAAAGAACGAATGGAGAGGAAAGTCGCCAGGCTGTTATTTATCTATTAAATTCAAATTTGGTCAATGAAGGGCATATAATGATCGCTCGTTCCCTTCGACTTTATCTGAGAATCAACTTGCATTCATGTATGTCAGTTTATTTGCATTTCCTAACAAAATATTCAACTTCCCTATTCTTATCTGTGAATGACAGAAGCAGAAGTTCATTTTGGTCATGTTTCTAGGAAATGGAATAATTGGTGGAAGAAAATATCACTTAGACCACAAAACAGATTCGAGTTTGGTAGCTTTCTAAGTTAAATTTTTTTTTTCGTAATTTGCACCATTTCAGATCAGCGCATTTCCATTTCTTAATAAAGTATTTGATGGCTGTCAACTAATTTGTTTAATTGATTAAAGGAGATGATTCACGAACTACAGAACAGATTGTGTTTTAGTACCTTCTATGTTTAAAACTTGTTTGCGATATGCATTATTAATATCTTCTGAATTTTATGCAAGAAATCATATATCCTTGTAAGTATAATTTTAGGAATTTTGGTTTCATTGCTGAATCAATCTTGGTGTCTTAAGTTCAAGTTCTTTTGTAACCTTTTCTGTTTATCTCTATAACTATAAATACACATTCAGGTTTTCTAACCCAACGCTTCATAAATCAAGCTTTATTAATGTCAAATATCTTCAAAAAGTTCATCCAGATTCAATTAGCAGGCAACAGCACCAGGTTTCAGCTTCCAAATAACTATTCCATTAAGTTATAAATAGTAAACAATCCGGGAATAGCTGCCTATGTTAATTATCCAAACATTTATCAGAAGGTTATCTTGATGATGCCTTCTGTCACCTTATGCTTTAATTTAGACAATGATTTCTAATTCTCAAGGGAATGTCTGAATACTTGCAGGGGTTCTTGTAAAGCAACACAAAGTTAATTTGAAGGAGGGTTTCTCCTCTGCTTCGCTCTCTCTTTGCTACTTTAAAGTACTTGACGATGACATGACTCTTGCTAAGAATGATCTCAAGGCAAGTGACAGCCATAAAAGCGTCAAGAGGAAAAATATGATGTTCAAGACTAGCTCATGGTCTTATATGGACGTTGCTAACTCATCAGCTCATGACCAAGTTGTTGAGGTTCTCTCTCACGAATCTCCTGGTAGTGAGGATGAGGGTTCTTGCTGTTTGTCAGGTGTGAAAAAAGGATTACAAATTCTTCTTCAAGAATGGTTCCTTGCACATCTTAATGCCATGGCTTGTAGCGTAGGAAATAAAGTTAATGCAATGCGTCTGGGAAACCAAAGCTTGCTTCACTTTGAAGTCAATGGTTTGAAGTCTGGGACTCGAAACATAAACTCAGCACCTCTTAATGCTTCAGAAGACACAACTAAGACAGTTGAGATCCTGTATGTTATGACTATTTTGCAAGAGCCGTTGCAAGGGGTATGCAGTAATGCATTTGAACTTTCTTTCGATGATCTAAATAAGTGCGTCATTAAATTGGGAAGTGCAGAGTTGTCTGAAAAGTTGCACTTGGGTGACCCTATATCCTTCTCAACCATCAAAGAGAAGACTTATGTTGAGGGTGATAGCTTGGATGTATCTTCTCTGAGCTGGTTGGATGCGTCTCTTCCTGATGTTATTAATAGTACGTATTCTCTGTAATGATTTGTTCACTTAGCTGCCTTGGTAGTTTGATAGCGTTATACTAAAATAGGGTTACATTTTTTGCAGCATGCACTTCAGTGAAGTATGTTAATCCTAATGAAAACTATCTCCATGACATACGGGTTCCAGTCATAGCTGCATAATCACAAACATAACTTCAAAACTTTATGATTCATCTCTTCATACTTAATCGTGTTAGTTTTGACTCGAGAAAAGTTTAGTATCTTGCTAAATGTTGAATTCTTACGAGTTGTAGTAGACCCTGCTGTTATGTGTTGTTTATCTTATTCAAGAAGCAGTTTTCTGCTGTTATTGTTGTGTACCATACCCTGAGGCCTCACATTCCTCTCTGTTTTCTTCTTTTTGTTCGACCATGCTGATGCCTAAAGTATCCTTGACCCTAGAGTCATATTTGCTGCAGGGATAAAGGTATTATTATCTCCAACAGCTGGGAGGTGGTTTGGGACCCATAATCTTCCACTTCCTGGACATATTCTCTTATGTGGACCTCCAGTACGTTCCTTTCTTTTTAGATTTAATCCCATAATGTGATGTTCTTGGAGTAGGTTAAATGTGGTTATTGCCCACTAGAGCTCGATGAAAATAAAAAATATGGCATGATAAAGTTGCTATTATTATTTTTTTAATATCCGTGAGTGTATGGGCCAGCTTGCGCACACCTCAACTAATCTAACCACATGACCCTGCTATTTGATTGCTAAGGAAACTCGTAGGATATTAAATCCTAGGTAGGTAGTCATCATGATTTGGACTCATTCCCTCTAAGGCCTTTATTATTTACATTGACCCTTATTGACTAACCATGATGGTTAAAGTTGCTTTTATTTGTGTTCCTATTTTTTTAAAAAAGAAACAAACCCTTTGATGCACCCTAGCATCTAGACTCCAAAATACTCGAGAAAATCTTTATCCATACAAAAATTAGTTGACGCTAGAGTTTATTCCTCTTCCTCTGTTAATAAAGGTGGCCTACTAAGTACTTACCAAGTAGTAACTAACTAAAGGAACTAATCCTGAAAACTACTTAACAAAACAACTCACACAAAGATAGATTCAAAATGGAAGGAAAGACAGACTCTTAGTATCTGCTGTAGGAAAGAGAAGTTTGGGTTTCTTTCCTCTCTTTGGTTGAAAATTTTCCTTTTGAGAGAAATTCTTTCCTCCTCTTTCTCCCTCTTTGCGTCAGATCCCTTTAGCCTCCCAACTTTTCTTTTATCTGTTTTCTTAGCTCACAGGTTTATTTCCAATTGGTGGGGACAAGATTATAAGAAATTTCTTTTGGGAAGGTGCTTGCCCTTGTGGAAATTGGCATCAAGTAAGATGTAACCTAGTCACTCTTCCCAGAGACCTGGTATTGTTAGACAAATTAGGCTCTTCTTTCAAAGTTGTTGGGGAGATTTTACGATGGTCCAAAAGATTTATGGAAGCAAGTCATCTAGTAAATATGAAGAAGCCTAAGCTTTGGGGTCTCTCTTGGATAAATGTTGCTCCATTAGTAGTAGAAGCCCTGGATGCATATTCTAAAATTGTACAATCCTTCCAATCTCAATATGGAATCCAATGATATGGTTGGGACAATCTCAATATGGTGCCAAACATTGCTGAGAGATTTTCCCAACTCTTTTCTATGGCCGTTGGAAAAGAAAAAAAAGGGCATTGCAGTCAAAGAAGCCTATGGTCATAGAAATGACTATTGGAAAGGTTGTTTTGATAACCAAATTGATCACAGAAAGGTTGAGTTGGTTTGAAGGATCTTCGATCATGAAATTCAGGTAAGAAAGATTTAATTTCCTGATGGGCTTCCAAGAAAAAATGAACATAAGGCTACAGGAATTCAAGAACGTTTGATCGAAGAGGAATCCAATGCAAATTCTTTTAGAAAATCTCTTAACCATACGTTTGATTTACGATTGCATTGCTTTGAAGATGAAATTGTGCGCATGGATAAAAAACCAACTTAAATTTGCATGGATTTGAAGCTTCTTACATTCAAGAAAATATTTTGAGAAGGCCGGCAATTAATGGGCAATTGATCGAAGTGGCTGGTTCAGAACCAGCTAAAGTACTTAATTTAGCCACAAGGATCAGAGCTAGTTGATGGCATTATTACAGATGGCATGATAGGAAACTTTTTTCAAGAAGCACCTTGGACTTGGTCGACCTTTGACTGACTATGCATGAAGAAGACTTCTTTGTTAGTTTTGCCCTTCCGACAAGGCCAAAACTTCTGCAAGATGAGCTTTTTTTTCTTCAGTTTTGTTGATTATTTTTATGATGGGATGGTCAAATAGAGCTGATTAACATGGAGGATGCGTTTCTTCCGGCTTTTGCTGATTATTTTGGCATGGAGAATGAAATTTTGTTCTGCCTGAGAAGTAATTTTGCCGATGTTAAGAAATTTCTCCCATATATGGCAACTCTGGGTAAAATATGTTATGTGGACATGATTGAAAAGGAGTCGAATGATTATCACTCAAATGTTTTTTTTCTCGTACTGTCCAGCCAAATTTTATGAAGAGTTTTAGGCAAATTCTGAAATTGGAGTAGCTGGATGGAAATCTTTGGCTTGGATTTTATGTTTTCTATGGGAAAGGTTGCACAACCCGCTGGACCCAAGATCAAGTTCAATTTTATGAATTTCCACAAATGAGAGAAATCTCTTATCGAATATTGAGATTAGCAATGTTCTGCATATATTGAATGGTGGAAGATATTATCAGGAGAAAATTCCTTTGGAAAGTTTGAATAATCAATAATGCAAATATTTTTTGATTATTTTATGTTTTAGTGATGACGTAGGGATAGAGCCACTAACTACTAAGGAGCAAATGCTTATGGAAAATTTGATTAGCAGTTACTGCAGACATCTTTGATCTTTCTATTAGTTAATGTTTTATATTTGATGTAGAATTTTATTACTCCTTAATGGTCGGCATATTTTTGATTTGATATCAGGGTTCTGGAAAGACATTATTAGCAAGAGCTGCTGCAAAATTCCTTCAGGAATACGAAGATCTTTTAGCACACGTGTATGTATAATTATGACGATCTCTTTTTCTCTTATAGAACATGGATTTGATCTATTGGTTTTATTTTAATATCAATTCTTCCTCGCAATTTGTTCATTCAAACTGTTTCTTCTTGGGGGAAAAAATTATGATGGTAGGTTTATTTCATTTATTTGGACTCTGCTTTAGATTTTGTGGCATGGAATGAAAAAAAAGTGAAGCTGGTTGAGAAGTAAATCGTTTATTTCCTTTTAATATTTTCATTAGGGCTGCTAATTCCACTTTGGCATACGGTTAATTAAAGAAAAGATCCAACAAATAATATTTTAAGTGTAGATTTATCCTTAAGTAGGGAAAATGGGAAAGGTTAGAAAAGGCTGGCATGAAGCTGGAGGACTGAAGGGACGAAACCATAGGCTCATAAACAGATTTGTTATTTTGAGGCAAAGTAATGCCAGTACATCGATGCATATTGTGGCACGCCACCTGGAGTTCTTATTTAGTGAGGCCTTGCAAGTGAAACTCTGTATACTCATTAATCCTAGTTCTTCTTGCAGGGTTTTTGTTTGTTGTTCTCGACTTGCTTCTGAAAAAGTCCAGACTATTCGCCAGTCACTATTGAGCTATATATCAGAAGCTTTAGATCATGCACCTTCTCTCATTATTTTTGATGACTTAGATAGCATTATTTTGTCAACATCTGACTCAGAAGGATTTCAGCCATCCACATCAATGTCTGCAATGTCAGAGTTTCTCACTGACATGATAGATGAATACGAGGTAATAACTTTATTGTGGTTTCCATGTTCACTTGCACGGAAGGCAAATGTTCTATATTATGGTTTTATGTAGCTCTAAAAATCTTGCTCTTTATTAACCTTTTAAAACTTTTGATAACATATTATTCTCTGATCAAATCTTTTCTTTTCAACCACCGTGGATTAGTTTAGTGGTTAATAAGGATCAATCTAAATAATAGAGGGCTTAGAGGAAATGAGTTCAAAGTGATGACTACCTACTTAGGATTTAATATCCTACGAGTTATTTTAGTAACCAAATGTAGTAGGGTCAGACAGTTGTCTCGTGAGAATAGTCGAGGTATGCACAAGTTGGCTTGGACAATCAACGGATATCAAAAGAAAATCTTTTCTTTTCTTTTGTACTATTTCTCTTGCTTATCACGGAGAAAACTTGGTTCTAATGTGTAATTTTGTGTTAAAGGAAAACAAGCTAGTTTTAGAGAAGTTTTTGGCTAGCTTTTGTTCAAGTCCTGGGCTGTAGAGTTATTTTTGGCACTTTGTATAACGTTCGATCTGAACAATAAAGTTACAAATACAAGGCTTGCAATGCATTAAAATTGATGTCTCTGTTCATGTGGTTTTGTGCTCCTTAATTGATGAGATGTTAGTCTCAAGTATCAGTTTTTAGCATTTAAATCCCGTAAACAATGTGTGCCACATGTCCAGTGCCAATAATACTACTGTCAAGTTTGGATCATCTAATTGTGATTAGTTCATTGTCTTTTTTAGAAGCTCCAGTTGCTCCTTGCTGAACAATTATGACTCAGTAATGGTAGATTCTTCTGTACGTGTGACATGGGCTTGATTTGCTTGGTTCTTCTTATGATCCAAGATTGGTGTGATAGATTTCATATATGTGGCCTACGATGGATCATAAGAAGTGTAAGCACAAATATTCTAAAAAACATTTATTTAATAACTAGTGGAATTGATCTTTATTAAATTATTTGCACAACTTATATTTAAATTTCTGATTCACGTTTCCATATTGATGTAATGGAAGCAAATTTAATTATGTTGCTGACAATAAGCCAGATTTTACCTTTCTCCAAAACCCTATTAGTTTGTGTTAATCCGGTTAAAGCTATATTATCAGATGTTTGGTGTAAAGGAAACCAGACAAGGGCAAAGAATGGATAGAGTGTTCTGAACTAACAAAATTCAAGGCTTCTCAATGGTTTTCACTCTCAGTTTTATTTTCGAACTATTCTTCAAGTATTATTTGCTGTTCTTGGGATGCTTTCATTACTTAGCTTTTTGGTTTTCTTGTTCATATATATTTCTTCTAACTCATTTTGAAGTTTGTATCATCGAACATTTTTGCTTAATTTCATTCATCAATTAAATTTTTGTTTCTTGATTAAAAGAAAAAAAGCCAGATTTTTCTAAAATTATATCATTATGATTATAATGTTAGTGTTTTGGTCCACTTTCATCAAAACTGACAGGAAAAGAGGAAAAGCTCGTGTCAGGTTGGTCCTATTGCATTTGTGGCTTCCGTGCAGACTCTAGATAAAATACCACAATCATTGAGATCTTCAGGTTTGTCTTTTTCCCAACTAAGCTGGAGATGGCTGCACATGTGCTTAACCAGTTTTTCTATAATTTTTTTTCTCAATTTTTAAATCTAGTTTTTTCCTTCAATTGGATAAATCAGGAAGATTCGACTTTCATATGGAATTGCCTGCTCCTGCTGCATCAGAACGAGCTGCTATTTTGAAGCATGAAATACAGAGACGTTCCCTAGATTGTTCAGATGTGACCTTACAAGAAATTGCCTCAAAATGTGATGGCTATGATGCATATGATTTGGTACATAGCTATTTCTTGCTTTGTTGTAATTGTTACGTTCATTTTTATAAATATTTCATGGAAATGTTTTCAAATGTTGATATCAATATAAAATTAGGGTTCTTGTAACTAATATATATATATCAATCAAAAGTTTGTTTCTTGTTCAAAAAAATCAATATAAAAATAGGGTTCTCGTAACTTTTATATATACATACATACATACTAGGGATTACTTTGAACTCTTCTTTGTTGCTTCATTAAGCTCCAATTATACCTAATTTAGGGTTTGGGATAGGGAGGGCAAGTATTGTTCTGGTTCTGTCTCATATTGGTCATACTTCAGGCTTTTATTTTTCTGTTGGGGGAGCCTTTTAATCGTCATTCTTCACGATTGAGGATCTTTTTTTTAGATAAGAAACATTCTTCATTTCATAAAAAACAAAGGTAACATCCTAAGGGCTGGGGTAGAGAGAACCCCACCTAAGAAACTAGACAATCTCTTTCCAATTGTTAAAGACCATGGAAAGGTTGTAGTTACAAAAGAATTTCCTATAATTGATGCACCACCAGAAGACGGTGAACTGTACATTCCTACAAAAAATGTCAAAAGTAGAGGACTTATCTTCAAAAACACAAGAATTCCTTTCCAACCAAAGATGCCACATTAAAAGCAGAATTACCTAAAAGTGAGATTTTCTTCTTGGACTATGGCTAATAAATGGGGTAATTCTTTGGAATTACTCCATGAGAGGTCCAAAATTGTAAACTTCCAACTCTGGTGGGTATATTTTGTGTAAGGATACTTCATAACAGTAGGATCTGTTGGTTCACGACCATCTGTTCTATGGTATTTGATGTAGGGTTTTCCAATTTTGGTGTTGGTTTGATCCTTAATCGTAAGGGGATTTTTCTTTTTTCTTTTTTTTTTTTGGAATAAATGTCAAATTACTTTCTTTCCTTTAAAAAATGAGGATACTTTGAATTTGGATAAGGCTATTCACCACTTTTTTGGTTTTTGGTTAGAATGGAATGGGAGGAGGTTTTTAGGATAGTTCATTATTGTGAGTTTATACTAAGTTAATAATGTAGATTGTTCTGTTGTTATTCTGTCTTATAAAAAAACATTTTTATTGTTTGCTATGATAATCTAGAAATGCAACTTTTTTTTATCAAGAGTGGTGTCCTAATGAAATGACCCAAGGATTGACTCCTTCCCAACTTAAAATGCTAATTGTGGATTGTTTGTTTTAATTAGCTTGCAAGTTCTTACTTTGGAGTGGAGGAATGGATATTGTTTTATTCTTCAAATGGAAAAATATTTATTCATGTCGTGTTTAATATTATTATTTTTTTTTTTTTGAGAATTTGCTCCTCGTCACATTTATACACCATTTTTTTCTCCTTTTTATTTTGGTTTTTTTTTTATTTTTATTTTTTTTACCATTGCCTTCATTCCTGCTTTGATGCTGTGTCTGAAGTTAAAAAATCAAAAGTTTTACTTCAATAGTCTGTCATTTAACAAATCAAGCTATTTAGTTGCACCTCATTATGTGTTATAGATTTACTTAGACAAGCGTGATGTCTCCTCCCCCCAAATTTGCACGTTCATGTTCATCTTTAAGCATAAAAACGTTCGAATTCTACTTTCAGGAAATTTTGGTTGATAGAGCTGTCCACGCTGCCGTTAGCCGTTTTCTCCCACTGCATCTTGCTCTAAACCAGAAGCAACATCCCACTCTAATCGAAAATGATTTTTCTCTGGCTATGAACGAATTTGTTCCAGCTTCAATGCGTGATATTACTAAACCAGCTGCAGAAGGTGGTCGCTCAGGCTGGGATGATGTTGGCGGTTTAGTTGAAGTTAAGAATTCTATCAAAGAGGTATAATTTTCTTTTGGCTTCTTGAGAATTTGGATTATGTTGAAGCTTTTTATGTCTGCGTTGGTGATACATGGACTTTGGGCTTTAAAGTTCAAGTTTTATCATTTATTTATTTAAATAATTGCCTCTTTTCTGTTGACCAATTGGAAATCTTTTTCCACGACTCCTCAGAGTACATTCTGTTTGTATTTTTGTACTTTTCTCACATCAATGGAAGGTGTTCTTTCTTATCCAAAACATGACAGTGAGGCTTAGTATAAGTATCAACTTACAATCCCATCCAGATTGATTAAATCAAAACATGTGCAAATAGACCAAACACTTCATAAAGAAGAAGGCGGATGAAGAGCAAGTGGATTCTTTTCATGTTTCCACAAAGAATCAAGTTACGTTGATGTTTCCATCTAGTCATCAGGCTAAAAATGCTCAGTATCTATACTCCAGCTTGGGTGTCATCTGGAAGGACGAAATCCTTGAATAGTATATCTTGGTTTTTTATATTTGTCCTTCTACATCCTTCCTTATGCCCTATATCTTTTATTATTTATGCAGTTACTTTCTTTTTTTACTTGTAAAGTATCAGACAAATGTTACTTTATTTTACTCATTAATTTTCATTATGTTTTCTAAATAGTTCGAATGCCGTTTCCTTCATTTGTACCATTATAAGATTGAATTCTGATTCAATGCATCTTAATTAATTCAAGTATATATTTTCTTTTTTCCCGTCCATGTCCTACATTATTTTAGAGCTTTCTATTTTTAATATTTTCCTACACATTTATGTATTAAATGCATGTATTGCCTTCAAAGTTTCCCGATATCTTTTTGCAGATGCTTGTATTGCCTTCAAAGTTCCCCAATATCTTTTCGCGAGCTCCTTTAAGGTTACGGTCGAATGTTCTCCTATATGGACCCCCTGGTTGTGGCAAGACACACATAGTTGGTGCTGCTGCTGCTGCTTGTTCTTTGCGATTTATATCAGTGAAAGGGCCTGAACTTTTAAACAAATACATTGGCGCTTCTGAGCAAGCTGTGAGAGACTGACTAACCTTGCTTACCACTTTTTTAAAATTTAAAGTGCATGTGATATGATCCTTTGATTGATATTGTTTAGCACCGTTAAAGTTTAGTTTCTTAGTATGTTCAAATTAATGCCAGGAATCTGAAAATGTCGTGCTTCCTGTATATCTTATAATGTTGTCGAACGTTTTAATGGCCAGTGTGTTGCTTGTGATTTTATCAAGTGGCTTGTGTGGTTTTCTCTTATAGTTTTATGTGCTAAACCTCTCTTTACTCTCGGTCTCAATTTAAGAATTGATTGACAAGCATAAAATTTTTATACCTGTCCCTTGTTTCGGACAGATTGTTAAATCTGGGGGTCTATAATTAAGTAATTAACGAAGGTTGAGGTCTTGTTCTGTTAAATTCTTTTTATGTCTTTCAGATCAGGAAATATCTTGAAAGATTTAGATATAATGAATGCTTTTTGCTTAGAATCTCAACAATTGGTCTCAGGTTCGGGATATTTTCTCGAAAGCAACTGCAGCAGCACCTTGCATTCTTTTCTTTGACGAGTTTGATTCAATTGCCCCAAAGAGAGGGCACGATAACACTGGAGTCACTGATCGTGTGGTCAATCAAGTGGGTATCCTATTAACTTGACCCTGTATTGATTTTGGATTCATTTATTTTCTGACTACTTTGTTTCCCTGCTTGCAGTTTCTAACTGAATTGGATGGTGTTGAAGTTCTAACCGGTGTATTTGTTTTTGCTGCAACAAGGTTAGTATCTCTTCGTTTAAAAAAATGGGGGCCAGCGACAACAACAATAGCTGAAATAATCATGCTTATCTCGTGATTGCTTGCTTTCTATCATAATTTTTTTTTTCTTTTCTAAATTCCACTATGTTCAATAATTGACTAGTTTTCAATTCCCCGGCTTCTCTTTTTCTTCTTTAGTTGTATTTCGTTTTTCATTTTAAGCAGTAGACCAGATTTGCTTGATGCCGCACTGCTAAGACCTGGCCGGCTAGATCGTCTTCTGTTTTGTGATTTCCCCTCTCCAGTGGAACGGCTAAATATTCTTCAAGTTCTTTCCACAAAGGTTGGTGTCTCTGAACTCTAATTATTCATTTGTGTTTGCATTTTTTTTTGGCTTTTATGGCTTACGGATCAACGTCACCTTTCAGTTTACCCACTTGGGACCAACGTCTATTAATGGCTGAAAGGTTTCAGTTATGCTCATGACACCAGTAGATAGGCATTTTCTTGTTTCATCTTTTATTCCGTTTATTTTGCTTCTGCCATTAGAATAATTTTTCAGTTTAAGGTAGTAGAGAGTTTGATATACGTAAATATAAATACACATACATAGTTTCATGAATACAACGCATGGTTAAATTTTGTTTATTTATTTATTTCACAATGGTAAAATTTGCAGGAGACAGTTTTAAGTTAAAAATAAGCTTTTAAACTAACTAGTTTGCTAACTAAAATATACAGATCAATTTCTTTCCATTACACGAACACATTTGTCATTGAGCATTATAATTTGTCCAAGAGGTACAGCCTCCAAGTTCAAATCCATTGGACCTAGAAAATTCTTAGATCGTTGTTTGGTTGGGAAAAAGCTTAGCTAGGAATATTAGCGAGTTTACCTCAATGCATCTATTTTTATGAAGTCTATCACTTACCTCAAAAGCTTAAGTGCTTAAGTTAATAGATTAGAGTATATTTAATTATCTCTTATATATATTCTTAACACTTAACACTCTTCTCATGAGTAGGCTTAAATTTTAATTTGATTTATGAAAACCCAGCTTATTAACTATTGATAAAAATGGGGGAAGAAGTGATATTACATGGATTTGAACTAAATTACTATTGAGCTCAAAAGTTGTTATTGGTATATTAAAGTATATTTAATCTCTTATATATTTTCCTCGCAATTTTTTGAACCATATTAGTCTCACTGATGGATGAATTTAGAAGTTGAATGACAATGTTTTTAATTGAATAATGGATGGATACAGTTGCCATTAGCTAGTGATGTTGATTTGGAGGCGGTCGCTTATATGACAGAAGGATACAGTGGAGCCGACCTTCAAGCTCTACTCTCAGATGCTCAACTTGCAGCGGTTCACGAGCATCTCGATAGCATGAATGCTAATGACCCAGCTCAAAAGCCTATCATTACTGATGCTATTTTGAAGGCAGCTACAGCCAAGGCAAGACCATCAGTATCAGATGCTGAGAAGCAGAGGCTGTACGGCATTTACAGACAGTTCTTGGATTCCAAAAAATCTGTCTCCATGCAGGTACCTCCATTTTTCCTTCTCTCTCTTTACTTTCCTCTCACCACTTTGATAGTATGCATTTTTCAAAGTGTTCCCAATTCCTATATCTCGGCTGAATGATCATTGAAATAGTAGTAATAGTGATATTTACGCTATCATGGGTGGCCCATTGGTCCAAAAGGGCTAGGGTTGTCAATTCCTATGTGTTTCTCGGCACCAAATATTGTCGGGTCAAGCTGTTGTCCCATGAGATTGGTCAAAMAACTAAGCTGGTCTGGACACTTACAAATATCAAAAAAAAATAATAAATATAGTGATAGTTACACTATATGCTGATAGGTTCTAGAAAAATGCATTTAAAATTTGCTTTTAGCTTTTACTTTGGGAAAATCTTCTAGGATTGTTTATAGATGGTATGAACCAAAGTTCTATTTTATTCCAAATTTATTTCTATCTTTACCACCCAGATATCATCTCTCTCTCTCTGTTTTTTTTTTCCCTTTTTTATAACTAGTAAATCCTTCAATTTCAATATATTTAATTTGCATATGGTTTGTCTTTCAGACTAGAGATGCAAAGGGCAAGCGGGCAACCCTAGCTTAAGGACACGGGCAGCATCATCACTAAATTTTGCTCATCAAATAGATATATATATACATATGCTTCCACTCACTTACCTTCTATCTTCAACTAGTTTATTTATTGTTACCATATTATTCTTATACAACATATTTATTTTAAAATATTACATTACAAATAGGAAACAAAAATTTAATAGGGGTCGGAATTAGATCTTATAACCAATAAAAAGATTATAGATGTCTAACTTTTTGAACTATGTTCAAGTTAGTAATTCATTGTAGAATATGATAGATTTGATTATTCAAAATGTGTGCATTTTTTTTTATGTTTCAATTTTACCCTTAAAATATCAAGCATTCAATCATATATTTGGTAAATAATATTAATATTATTCAATTTAGATAATAAAATGATGCCACAACATTTTACAGATTGTTTGAATGATAAAGATCCATCTCACCTGAACTTGTAAAAAAACAAAAAAAATCCGTCTTTATTCAATTAAAGTTTTGAATTAGCCATACTAAAATGAAATAGGATTCAAACCAGAGAGGGAAAAAAACCTTGTAGATAAAATATTCTCAAATTCAAAATATTATAGAAACTAACAACTGTTTAAATAAATTTAAACCTTTGATTTAAAATATATATATATATATATATATATTGGATTGGGTGATTATTTATTTGTTTGGATAGAGTCCATTGTTGAATCTTGAAAGATTTTGATTTTTGACCTCTTAAAACAAACAAACATCTTAAAAATAACATCCTCCAAGGTTCCAAAAAAAAAAAAAAAAGTGAAAATTGCAAAATCTGCCCCATGAACTCTAGATATTGTTACATCACACGACAGATCACTCTTGAATTGACGATCACATCTTTAAATTATAGCACCGTTGTAATCAAATCTTAAATTGAATAGTCAACTTAGCATCAATCTAAAAATTCAAAGTGTTTCTACCTCTAATATTGTAATTTTAAAATTCTATATAATTACTATATTTACTTAAAAAATTTAATGTACTAAAAATTTTTTAAAAAAAAATCAACAAATTTAGGAAGGTGAGGACTAAATTAAAAGTTTTAATGGTGATTTTTGGGGAATTTTTAAAAATTTTAATAGATTATATAAATGTTTGTCTAATTAAGAGAGAACAAAAATCTTAAGACTATTTATTATTCTGCAGCAAAACTTTAGCAGGAGAGGGGACAAATGTTGAGAATTGGGAGAACCAATTCAGCTGCTTCAATTCCATCTTCATCTTCCATTAATGGCGGTTCCGAGGTAGCATCCCGGAGAACCAATTTGCTTCTCGCTCACTCAATGGCCAAGCCCAACAGCAGGACTTGGGCTGTTCTTGAACCACTGGCTGAGGAGTTCGATATTTCCAATCATTTTCGTACTTCAATTCGATCTCTCTCCCTCTCCACTGTCTCCGATTCCGAGACCCTAATTTACGCCGGAACCAAATCTGGAGCACTTATCCTATTCTCTGTAACTCCAAAATATTCAAATTCTTGCGCTTTCGGTTCTGAACCAGCTGACTCGGATGCTTCCAGAATTGTCTCTTCGTCGGAGAGAGTTTCACTTGTGAGGAGTGTTGCGGTTAGCGTTTCCCCAGTCGTCCGTTTGCACGTGCTTCGTGGAATTGAAAGGGTTTTAGTACTTTGTTCCGATGGGTTTCTGTATATCGTTGATTCGCTTCTTTTACTGCCAGCGAAGAGGTTGACGAGTTTGAAAGGAGTTTCTTTGATTGCGAAGCGAATTCGGAGTAGTGAGTCCGAGTGTTCTAACCTGTATGAGAGGGTGGATGGTAATTCTGGATTTACGAGCTCAGGTCAAAGGTTTTTGCAGAGACTGGGAGGTGGGATACGAACAAATGGCTTGAAAATCAAAGATTCAGAATCGCCACGTGAAGAAAGTAATTGCGTTTTTGCGGCTTTAATTGGTAAAAGGTTAATTCTATTCGAAGTTGTTTTAGGTCGTCCAACTGGCAGAAGTGACCGAGATATTGGTGATGCCAACGAGTCCCTTCTGATTTTGAAAGAAGTACCGTGTAATGAAGGAGTTTCAACAATGGTGTGGCTCAATGATTCAATAATTGTTGGTACTGCTAACGGGTATTATCTTGTTTCATGTGTTACGGGAGAGAATAGTCTAATATTTAAATTACCAGAGTTTTCGAGTCCTCCATGCCTTAAATTGTTGCGGAAAGAGTGGAAGGTGCTATTATTGGTGGATAGAGTAGGCATTACTGTTGATGCTTATGGTCAACCTATTGGTGGGAGTCTTGTGTTTCATGATATCCCAACTTCTGTTGCTGAGATATCTGCGTATGTAGTTGTTGCAAGCAGTGGACGGCTGAAGCTATATCATAGGAATACTGGTAGCTGTATTCAAAAAATTACTTTTAATGGAAACGAAATTGAGTCTTGCATCGTTTCAGATGAGGAAGATGGTAGTGGGGATGTTATTGCCATTGCTGTGACTAATAAGGTATACCAATTTATGAAGTCGAAGCAAATTTTATTTGTCCTGTATTGCAAGTGTCTGTAATGCAACATGGAATAACAAATTCAGTAGATAAATATGAATATTATGCTCAAATTGAAAGGTTCCAACTGGAATGGTTGAATATGGAGCAATAGTATTAACATGAAAATTTTGATCCTAAAGAAACTTTATATATGTGAGGCATGCGATTATATTTGCTGTTTTAATATATTGGAATGCCTACTGAGATATGCATGTTATGGAAGAATATATGTATATCTTCACGACTGATGCTTGTTTAACTGTTTCTTGATGCTCAGCTAGTTCTAAATTGTTATTTAATAACCTTGGTGTTAACGTTTATTGTCCGGCTCGAATATCATAGGTTATGTGCTATCAAAAATTGCCTTGTGATGAACAAATTAAAGATTTGCTAAGAAGGAAGAATTTTAAGGAAGCAATCTCTTTGGCAGAGGACCTAGAGTGTGCAGGTGAAATGTCCAAGGATATGCTATACTTTGTTCATGCTCAAATTGGATTTCTCTTGCTTTTTGACTTGCAATTTGAGGAAGCAGTAAATCACTTTTTGCAATCTGAGACAATGCAGCCTTCTGAAATATTTCCATTTGTAATGAAAGACCCAAATCGTTGGTCCCTGCTGGTACTTTCTCTTTACGTTAATTATTATTGCATCACGTTGGTTGTCCAATAACTCGATCCTGTCAGCCCCTTTTAAATTTCATTGACATTCACATCAACGAAATTGTTTCTTAGAAAAAGTTTCTGCAGCTCAACTTTATGTTTGGCTAGTTGAAAAGAACTAGATAATTCGTTAGAGAAAAATGAAGATGTTGATAATGGTAGGGATAAGTTAAAATTTTATATATTGCTGGTCTAAAACTGCTCTTGTCCAAAAAAAAAAACAAAAAGAACTGCTCACTGTTTGTATGTATTTTTTCTTAGAAGCAAAACTTTCATTAATACTATAAAAGTATTTAATTTGTATATTTTTGTAATTATTTTGTTACCTTGTAATCTTAATGCGAAACATTTTGTTGTCCCCTTTATTTCTAGATGCGCTATTTAAGAGTTTGAAATATCTTCAATTTATTTATTGGTTTCTTTTCTACTAAAAAAAAATCAATATCGTAGGTCTAAAGTTTCAATATTGAATTTTCAGATTCCGAGAAATCGGTATTGGGCAATGCATCCTCCCCCTGCTCCTTTTGAAGATGTTATAGACGATGGTTTGCTTGCCATCCAAAGAGCCACATTTCTTAAAAAAGTAGGAGTAGAAACTGCAGTAAATGATGATTTTCTCTTGAATCCACCAAGTAGGTCTGATTTGTTAGAGTCAGCAGTAAAACATATTATCAGGTATTTTTATTTTATTTATTGATTTATTGACTTTTTAGATTAAAGAAAATTTGTTAGGTATTTTTATTTGTGTAGATTTTTTCTGAATTTCTTTTGAAGTAAAGTGTGATGGGGGATAGCTATTTTTGGGTCAAAATTTGGTTTACATGATTCATATAATTTTCTGCTTTCAAGCAGTGTGGTTCAAGGGCACACAACTAGAGTTTTGAGGAAAAGTGCAGTCTAACAAAGGCTCTACTTTGGTCCTTGTGGTTAGAGACGAGAAATATGACTTTTAATTTTGCTTTTATGAGATTTACTCTTCGTCGCTCCGATTCGTAAAAAAAAAAAATGATGCTTTTATGAGATTTAATGATTTTTGGCTAAATGTCCAGCCCTCGTCTCAAATTGGAGTGTATCTCTATTAATTTGAGCAGCTTTTTTATTAACTTGGACTGGAGAAGATTTTTATAACTTCCCAGGCAATGGGTTTCCTCTTCCCTCTGGCCTTTTATCCAGTATTCCATTTGTTTCCTAATGATTTGTTTTGTTTCTTATCACATACATACATACGGAGATACATATACATATAATATTTTCTTCTTTATGAAGGAATTATGAGATTGGGTTTCTTGTTACTAGTAGTTAGTAGTGTTGAGGACCTTATGTTTCTTCTCATTTTTTAATTCCTTTTCATTAATATTATATTAATCTGTCTTATAAATGAATTCTGAAAGGAGAAGAGCTAAATTTTTTATTGCAGTAGGTTACTTCTTGATAATTATTGAGTTGTTCGCTTTTGTGATTGGTAGTAATATCTCATTCTTTCAATATCATGATGGCCCTAACTTTTCAGCTTTCACAAATTCAGTAATAGGTTTTGTTTCCTTAAAAAAAAAGTAACCTCTCTCTCTGTCAATATAGGTACTTAGAGGCTTCCCGCCATAAAGATTTGATGTCAGCTGTTAGAGAGGGAGTTGACACTCTTTTAATGTGCCTATATAGAACTTTAAATTCTATTGACAAGATGGAGAAACTGGCATCATCCGCAAACAGTTGCGTTGTGGTATGCAGTTCCCTTCTCTTTTGTTTACTTCTGTTATAAAAATGCATACATGTGCTCTTCCATATCTATACTTATATCACGTGTGTTGCATTTAAGAAGCTGTTTTTTTTTAATTTACTATCATTGTTAATTTTTTCGGCATGAAAATAGACACGGGAAAAAGGTTTTGATAATCAGTAGTTGGTTATTCCACCAATTATTTTTTGATCAGTTCTAGTTCCACAAATTTAATTTGCAAGAGACA